CTCCTTTAGTTTCGCCATATACCGGCCGGGGGACTACATACACAGACAGGGGGGGGTGCCGGGGGCGGGCCATTCTCTCTGCCCGGGTCTCCCAAATATCGTCAAGACATCAACTTTTTTCTCTTTTGATGACATCAACTCTTTTGTCTTTGGAGGACATCAACTATTTTCTTTTTTGGAGGACGTCAAACTCTTTTTTCTTTTTTTTTTCCCGGCCGGGCTGTTCCTCTTGTCGAACCCTAAATAGCCCCCACCATCAAGGGGTTGTCAGGCTTGCTGAAGCCGTCCGTGCGTCTGGTCGCCCCTCCAAGCGCAAAGGCCGTCCTCGAGGTACAAGGGGTCCCCTAGCGGGGCGCACGGGGGAGGGGGGGGGGGGGGGGGGGTTGGCGGGGGCAGAGGTTGTCGCCATCGTGAACCCGTTTCTACCATTTTTGTTGCGCGAAATCACCACAAACATGCCGAGCACAGCAACGACTTCTCAGCTCAGCCCCCCAGCCCCTCACATTGCGTTTTGATTGCTTCCGCGACGACGGCGGCGGCGGTTTCATGCAGGAGCACTTCCCGGCGTCCCGCATCACCTACATCCTTCCCGGGCAGTCGACGGTGCTCTCGGCCGGGGGGCGCGCGGTGGAGATTAAGGCCACCACCGGGGCGATCCTCGGCCCCCCCTGGCAGCAGGCCGAGAACGGGGTCATCGTCCGTCCCGTGGCAGCAGACGGGGATGAGAAAGGTTTGTGCGGGGGTAAAAAAAAAAAAAAATGATTGATCGTGTGCTCCGACCCGGTCGTTACACACAGGACGGGGGAACACAAAGCAATGCGCGTGCGCCTGAGGAGCCGAACAAGAGTTGGAAGCACACACAAGTAGCCGGGGCGCGCTGCTACGCTGTAAGGCGAGCTGTGTGTGCGGTTAACCTTAACCTTAACCTTAACAGAGAAGAGAGCGGGTCGTGATCGCCGTGCACTCATGACCCTCACACGCAAACACGCGCCGAAGTATTCGGAAGAACTTCCGAGCCTTGTCATGTTAAAGTCGATGAAAAAATGTGAGCTCGCCAACCCTATACCCAAGAATCCGTGTGAAACAATGTGAGCTTCGCAGAAATCTTGGGGGATGCTTTCGAAACCTTTCGTCTGCCTTTGTTTCCCAACAGACACGGCAGGGGTAGGGAAATAGCAACCGAAAACTTGCGGTTCTGTGGGTCGTTCTATGATAGTAAATCCCACGATAGACTCCGCCGAACACCCATGTGAGAATTGTCATTTTTTGGCTCGTACGCGACTTTGCACATGAACGTTTTCGTCTTACTGTATATCGATGGGACTCAGCAGGCAAAGTACCCTCGTCAACAACGCCTGTCCGGTATCGTTGGAGGGACCGGCGTCAAAAGTTTCGCTTACTTTGGACGGATGCATTCGTTGGGAGCGGAAACGAACGACAGCGCGGTCTCTTTTGCAGCGTCTTATCCAGCCCACTGCGGTAGAGTTGGTCCTCGCAGGCGCTCTCCCTGGGGAGATCTTGCGCTCTTCAAGAAAGTCTAGTTGGCTCGTTGTTGTTTTCTCATCTTCCAATACGCAGGCAGTGCGGTAGGCTCCCCCTAACTTGATAGCTCCTTGTGTACAGACGCGCGCATTGTTCTGCCATGCATGGCGCTCTCTTTGCTTTGTTTGAAATAATTGCAGAAATTCGGCAAAAAGTGCCCAATCTACTCCCTCGTGCTCCACCCCCGCGCCTCTCCCCCGCGTCCTGTGTTTTCCGTTTCCCATTGGCGGCAGATCCGGAGGGAGGCAGCCTCTACTTCGAGCCCCACCTCTTTTTCGACGAGAGCGAGCTGTCAAAGCTCCACGCGGACGTCGTGATCACCCCAGTGGTGCAGCAGAATGTGGGGCCCTACCCTCTTGTCTGCGGCGGGTACGTGTGGCCGGAAGGAAGGGAGAGGGGGGGAGGGGAAGGGCTCGCCGTTTGACGGACGAAAAAAAGTCATCACCGCGCCTCCTCGAGAGATTTGCTGATGCCACAAAGCAAGGCCTCCTCTCTCTTCGTTACGGCTCTTACTAGGCGTCTTTTTTTCGTTGTTGTTTGCAGACAGTATTTCGCCTCACGGAGCCCCCCCC